CACACTCACACACCCTGGACAGGACACCTGTCCATCTCAGGGCACACACAGGTACACACTCACACACCCTGGACAGGACACCAGTCCATCTCAGGGCACACACAGGCACAGACACGGACACCCTCTCTCCAGGGGCAACTTCCCCAGAAGCCAATTATTCCACCGCATGTCTTCTGTGTGGGAGTAAACCTGGACGAAACCCACACAAACACAGGGAGATCGTACAAACTCCATGCAGATACTAGCATCCTCGTTCTGGAACAGGACCCAGGGCCCCAGTGCTTCGAGGCAGTAATGCCAACTGCACCATGTTGCCATCTAGATATATAATTATTTTGCAATAGATGGAAGGTACTAAAGTAAAAACATTTTCCTCCATTAGAAAAGATTTCAGTATACAAACTGAGACAAACTGAGCAGAGCTCAGGTGCTGCTTGGGTGACACTGGGGTCCACACGATCTACAGGAAGCAGAAAGAGAGCACGGTACCCACCTGATCACACTGTCGAGCCATGCAGATGGACAGTAAGAAAGAGAAGGTAAGCACAAGGCAATGGAAGCACAAGAAAAACACAAAGACGCTCACTTGGAGGGTGATAAAAAAGCAACATGTGAGGATAAGGAGGACATGCTTTGAGTAAAACGAATAATTGGAAATGGAGCAGCAATGAAAAGCATTGTGATGAAAAAGCTTTATAATGCTATCATGAACAAAGTAGATGGAAGTCAAATGAACTGAATAAAAATGTATGATTAGTGTCAATATCTCATTTTTGTATTCATGAAGCAGAAATGCTTCAGCTACATCAAGGGTATCTTTTCCTTACAAATGTAAAAATGTAAAATGCAAAAAATGTCAATCTTGATGTTTTCATGCGAAACATGTGTGAGGACTTCCTGATCTGTTAGCACTGCCTGAAATTTCCTATCTGCAGTTTACAGTGAACACATCAGAGGCCCAACTCCGTGACATGAACAATCTCGGCCCTGATCGCTTTCCAAAGACTATCATTGTCCCAGCAAAGGAAATGAGGAATGCTGATGAGTTACAGATGCACACAACCCATATACGTGGCAAACAGGACACCATACCTTGTATTTACCAATCGTGTCAGTATTTTAAGTAATAAAAAGACAGCCAATGTGATTTTATCCACAGAAACCTGGTCCAAGACAACATATCACATTTATCCTGGTTTTCTACCCCCCAAAAAAGTTTTACAAATTGTAGTAAGCCATTCTAAATTACTACATCTTTAAAAATAACAATATCTTACCTGATTGAAATCCCTCTGCCTCAGGTAGGTTATGGCTTTGTTAATTTCTAGGTCATTTGCTAGTTCTACATACTGTGAGCTTTTCACCATTTCTACACACCTGGAAATAATACAAACTGGGTATCAACATACTGCATCACAACATTTAGTAAAAATACACCTGTGCAATAAAAATTCAAAAATAGTCATGGCACTGAATTATAAATATAGCTCCGTCTAGAATAGTCCAGTTGCTTCACATACAGAAATAGTCTGAGTCAAGAGTTCCAAATAAGATTTTGCGTCGTGCTCGGTGTTTTCTACCAGTCTGTGCTAATATATTAAACAAACAGGCATCGGTTCTAAAACCATCGCTAGAAAAACTATTGGTTTACAGTTCACTTGGTCCCCATAGCAGGTTTAAACAGAAACAATCTCAGATGTCCAGATATTCACCAGTCAAACCCTGCTGCAAAGGAAGCCTCAATGGCGGGCGCAATGAGTTTTGCCGACGTCATGATGAACTTCTCGGCCAAAGCTTTTCTGTAGTCGGAGGACAAGAACAAATAAAGATTCAGGCCTGCATCAGGCAAAACTGAAAAAAAAAATGAAAATCAGAAAAGGCCTGAATCAGAAAAAACAGTATCTACCTCTCTCTTTCCATTTGGCGAAGTTGATCGTTCTTAATCGCCTCAATCACAAGGTTTGAATGTGGATCATCCTAGGAAAAAACATCAGAGAGTTTCTTGTGGACCTTACAAAGGTGTTGGTGTAGAAGAGGAAAGGTCCACCCATTAATATCACTGATCTACTGTTTTGTTTTTTTAAACGTCCACAATCGGTGGCAGAAGAGTACTCAAGCAGACCGAGACTGGCTCTTGGAGACCATGTTGAAAATGTCATGACCCTAAAGGGGGTATAATATGAGATCTCCCAGAGTGCCCAGAGATCTGACACTCCATACTCACATTAGCAGGGGTGTATCTCTCCTCCTCATCAATGCCCAGAGGGACAGAGATCAGTTTCTGAAAAGCTTTCTTCATCCTCTCCCGATCCCCAGTAGCATAGTAGCAGAGGATCAAGTTAAAACCAGTCCTAATGTTTGGGCTTTCACTCATAATGTGCTCAAATGAGGTAACGGCATCAGAGTACTGACCCATCTTCACAAAAACCACTCCAATGTTCTGCATTATTTTAATCCTACAAGAAAGTAGCACAATGTCAGATGATTGAGCCCCAAATAACATCCTGAAACCCCACATTTTTTAAATATTGTTTAAAAAAATCTATAAACAAATATTACAAAATAAGGTGAATTAACAGATAATAAAAAACAGTATCATATTTCTCGTTAAACAGGGTAGCAAGTTTTACATGTGGTGATTTGTTTCCACTTACAAAAACAACTTCTAGATTTTATATTTTAAGTTTTCGTTTCAGAAAAATAATTAAAATTTAAAATTTGATAGAACTATTGTTCCACTGACATTCATCCCATGGCATGCAGAATAAAATAGAACACTACATTTATCATTAAGGAAACCTTTGAAAGAATAATGATTGTTTCATCACAGACCCATGAAAAATCGGTGGAAGTACTGAAAGAAAACATTAAATATCTTACCGCATTTCCTTGTGGGCGCTGGAAATCTGGTCTAAAGCCATACGGTAAAATTTGATTGCCTTTGGGTAGTTCTTCTGTTTGAAATAGATATTTGCCATGTTCACTTTTAACCTTCCTGCAATACAATAAAATGTTAGACACACATGCATTTTTTTGGTTGCTGGTAAACAACACGATAGACCTGAAGCTTTGTCTTAAAGGACCAGAATCACTGGCTAAAGACCTAGAAAAGTAAGAAACCGCTGGTTCAGTCACAGTCTGGCTGAATGACAAAACAAGATAGCCTTTCGGTTAAAAAACTGTAGATGAGTAGAGACTATACTTGGTACCCTTAAACATCATTTCTTCTCGTCTGCTGGTTTTCACTTCATCTGAGCTCTACATCGTAAGTGTGGACTGATAACAATTGGATTCCTTATTTAAACATTTATTTAACTTGTTTCTTCAGCCAGTCTTGAGTGTCAAAAACACACAATTTCAAGGGTACCATGTGAAACACCTTCAACATACAGATATTTACAGATCTCTCAGCATACAGATACAGCCTCTTCTTCATTATTTTGACTAAACAGCTCTTACTAATTGAGTAATTGATAATGAATAGACACAAATAGGTGTGACACTGTATCCGACACTCCTACAATTAGTGTTTTTATCAAGAGATTACATTTCCCGTAACACACTTGAATGAGGTGTCAGGAATCCCATTTGAATTTTTTCAGATTTGAAAGCAGATTTACAAATACTGAGTAAAAGTGCAAACAGAAATCTGAAATCAATCAGCCTGAGATCAAGAACTCAGCTGAAACAAAAACCAGAAAAACTCAGTCTTCATCCAGGGCAGGGGCTGGTGTGCACTGGTCTAAACGGACTATTTCACATTTTACACCAATCTGTAACCTGGCTTGGAATTCCTGGCCAGATAATTCTTATTCTGCTCACCTGCATTACTGAACATTTTATTCTTCACTATCACTTGGTAGGTATTCAGGGCTTCAGGATACATTTCACTGTTTGCATACTGGTTTGCTAAATTAAACAGAACCTAGAAAACAAAAGTCAAAGACGCACAAAAAAAGAAAGACAAAGACCATGAGGTTTAAATGAATACATAAACCGGCATTACAGTGAAATGCATCTTCAAAATATATATATAATAGGAGAAAACATACGGAGTACTCATCAACAACACCAAACCCTCTGCCAGTCCCAGTCTGTGCCTTTACAAGACACTAAAGCCATACTCACAGAATACGTCAGGTCCAAGTTGACATGCTCCGAGGTTCCCACTTGCTCCCGCTGTCTGACCAGCGCCCTCTCCTTTCGGCCTGCTTCTTTAGCTTTTTCCAGTGCCTAAGTTGCATTCATTAAATGATAATAAACTGGCATGAATCAGGGTCAATCTGCCTTGTTCCGAGAGCTTTAGGTTGTTTTTTTCAATTACACTCTCTTGGAAAGAGGCTAGTTTTGAAAGAGGTCTTCTCAGCTCAACACTTGACTGCTTATCCGACAGGACAGATGTCCTCCGTGAACTTCCCAAAGCTGCGCCTCGGGAGCACAGGGCTTGGGCTGTATCAGTCTCTGCCATGAGACCAAGGCGACTTGGAGTGCACCAAATCTCCTTTTGCTTTCAAATAGACGTAAAAAAAAAAAGTCTCCCAGAATACTAATTCAGTGCTGGATTCAGAGAACCCTTGTTTAGTAAGGAAAGCAAGACCCTGTTTGTGTTATGTAACCCATTTAAAACGTGCAGTTGCTAGAACCTAGAATCAAACTGCTACACAGCTTCTTCCCAATGGCCCTCTCCACCGACTCCATGCGTTGCAATCAAGTTCAAAGACCTTTCACAAGACTGGGTGGGAATTCAATGACGGTCCAGTGAAGCAAATTTCACGTCTAAAAGAAGGAGGAAATTGAACACTGACCAGCTGAAGATCCCCTTGACTGTGTGCCATGCAGCTTTCTTCAATCAAGTCATTCACCTTCTTTTCCAGAATCTTGATCTTTTCTTCAGGACTGCAAGTTTTTTTTACACACAAATTACAATTATTGTTTAAGGAATCATCCTACTGTCCTCTCCTGTTCGACTGTGGGTCAATTATTCATATGCTGCCTGATTTAAATGACTATGACTATACAAATTCTGTAACCACTAACAGGGACACCAGACTAGTTTTTCATTTTAAAAGAGTGTCTTGTCCATATGATATATTCAATTCAAAACACTATTCATCCTCAGGGGGGCAATTTAAGAGGACAATAAAAGGGAAACTAGTGGAACTCACGTGTCTTCATTTTTAGTTTCCAGTGGTGGTGCAGGTCCTTTGGACTGGCCAAACGGGTCAAAAGCAGAACCTGCAAGCAGGAGGATTTATAAATAGTCACAAGATTGATAAATGAACAGTCACAGTCAACAGAGATCCAAGAGCTTTAATAATGCAGTACACAAAAATACACAAATACTGAATTATGCTACTGTGTCAGAGTTCAGTTATTATAACACTGAGCAGAAATCTCCAGCTCAATACATGAGAGATAACACTAACATGATACTTGATACATAGTAAAATAGTAAAATATCTCATTTAAAGTAGCTTCTTATACAGTATGAAAGGACAAACAAACACACAAAAATGAGTAATTTCTTTGATAAAAGGAACATGGAAACATCATGTTTTGCCAACAAAAAGTCCGGTCAAGGGCTTACATTCATGCCTCCCATAAGATTGGGATACAACACCCATCTGATTTTGAAAACCCTGCACATTACAGTGCCATCTACTGACACCACTCTGATACTGCACAACTGAATTTGCTCACATCATGTAATGCAGACTTTACAGTCTCCCAGCGTCATTTTACTTTCTAATTCTTGTGATGGAGTGTTACTTACCAGCTTTTGATATGCCTTTTGGATATTTTTTTTTTTACTTTAAAACCACCCAATTTGGAATCGCCATTTGTTTCTTTACATCTTGACCCACAGTATCAAGGAGGATGATGCCGACAATACAGGGAGGACAGATAGACACACTCCTCTGATCCGTTCACCTATTGGTGCAATTCAAGCTCCGCAGTACCCTACAAGAGCTACCGTCGACTGGCAGAGTGCAGTCATGCTGTCTGGCAGCTTGGGTGCCCAGGATGTCACCAACAGCCATTAGAAATCTGGACGACATCATCACAATCAGACAGTTACACGACCCAAGTCTGACCCCGCCATACTGGGACAACAGAATGTCGTCTGAGCCTGGAGTGTGCGCTGAGCCTCTCAAAAAGTCCTAGTGCCTGGTAGATTTGACCTTAAAATATAACTATAACTTCCTTTCCGTCATGGAAACAATGTAAAAAAAAAATTTAATATGTATTGTGATAATTCTTGTAAGAGAGGTTTTGTTTTAGACACAATATCAAAACCAAGAGTACAAAGTAAATGTTCAGGTCCATTTTAGAGTGGAAACAGACATTTTGAAAAAACAAACAATCTTTATAGAATCATGTAAAAATCAGAATTAGTATTTACAGGCACGGGATGCGAGATAACACACAATTATATAAAATCACCATAAGCAAACATCCATGAAGTGGAAAAATGGCAATCTCGGTTCTGTGCTAGTCTAGACACAGACGCGGCCTTTACAGCTGCCTGAGCAGAACGTTTCTGTTGTCCACACGGCTGTATATTGGTCATGGAGGCTGGTATGCTCTCTTCATTCTGCAGTTAGTACACGTGCAGCCGCCCCTCCGGCCACCCACCTCTGCTCATCGCCGAGGAGTAGCCAGCCGCCCGCACTGCAGTCATTGGTCGAGAAACTCCATCCTTCCCCACGGAAATAAAGAACAGAGGGGTTAGAAAACTGTGTGTGTCTGCGATTTCCACCGTTAGTAGTGAAGTCAATCTTAAGACAGCTCCAATAAAGTGCACAGGCCTTCACATATGGCATACTGGCTGAGGGAGGACGTTCTAAGCAATCAAGGAAATAACACCTATAACTGAAATCCAAGGCTTGAGTTAACATCGGTTACACACCGACAGGCTGGAGGAACTTTTTCTAATCTTGACCAGAGAAGACCACATGGTAACATTTTACAGCGACAGAAGTCAACACAGCGGGCTTCTGCAGGATAAACAATGAGACAAGAACCAGAAGACGCAGGTGGAAGCACATTTAAAACCAAACAGGCGAGTTTTTACCCAGAGGGTTGCAGGTGTATGGAACAAGCTACCCTGCGATGGAGCTGAAGCCAGTACTCCGGAATCTCCTGGGTGTGATCCCTGGATTAATCAGCTACTTACTACCAAACTGGCTGGAAGGGCTTAATCGCCTCTTCTTTATGTCTCGTAAGAATAATTACAAATAACAAGCATGAATAATTTAACATACAGGGATTACAGAAAACCCTGAGCATTTTACATTTGAAGGCTTGGAAAACAAGGCCTCGCCTGTTTTCACTTTTCCACATGAAGCCTTAAAACAACTATTTATTGGACTATTCACAAAGAAATACTTGTTTATTCATCGGAGCTGCATCCCAGGTGTCATCAATCACCGTTTGCAACGGCTGTTTCTCCCCCCAGACAATCGAAGTGGCTAATTTTGCCAATCATGTACTCGAGAATTGTAAAGGAGAAAAAAAACCCATCCCGATTAAAAATCTTGGTTCTATCAGTGTTTTGGGTGAAGTACCGTACTCGCATTCATGTTAGAGGAAAAACATGTTAGACCACAACAGTTAACAAACACAGTATTTCACAAAGAAACAAGAACAGGTCTCGAACCCACTCCCAGCCTGCAGCTGTTCCAACATCCCGGTTACCTTACCTGCAGCGCACCTGTCATGGGTCGTCCCAGAGACGAGGACAGTGGAGCCCTTGACTTTGTTTTCCCAAAAAGAACAGAATACCAGTCAGTTAGTTCACACTTTTTAATAAAGAAAGTTCTTGCGCCACTTTCGATCACTGTATGGCACCCCGTGGAAAGCATACTGAAGTTGGAAGAAGTGGTTTGTTTTTTCCCCACCAGTGGTCGAACAAGGGAATTCATACCCTTACAGTTATTACTGGAGCTAGTTATGAACCACCCTGGTACTCTAGTCACATTCTTGCACGTAAAAATAACAAAAGTTGGGAAAATAATTTTAACAAGTCATTGACTGTGATCATAGTAATCCTATGTGTGTGTAGCTACTACGTAGAGTAATAAATTACCTCTTAAAAGCAATTTTCCCCTACTTCTGATTGTTTTAGAAAGGCAAGCACAGAAGGAGCCTGTAATGTAAATTTTCCCCACGCTGCTACCTGCCCTGATGCCAGTGGCTCTTGCCTTTCTGGAGGCTATTTTTATGGAGGTGTCCATGGCACTGGTGAAAGAGCTCTATGGTCCTGTGGTGTATCAGCTGATGACACAAAAGCACTATTAAACTCACCAATACTGCCCTCTCTCGATTCAGTTTTTTTCTCAGGGTTCCTTAGTGTAACAGCTTGGGGTTTATTGCCACCTGAGAGGGTGGGAGGTAGGCAGGGGTGGGACTTTCTCTACAGTATTACATTTGTTTTACATTGCAGGCTTCGTCCCATATTAACTGATAAAACAAAAAAAAACTTAATCTTTTAACAAATATTAAATGGAACTCACAGAGGTTTACAGCAGGCTATCATAAAGTTAGGTTAATTATGCCTTCTTTGTTAAAAAACAACTCACTGTTTAAAAAGTAAAATATCTGAATGCTCCTGTGACCCAGAAGCTGTAAATTAATAAGCGAAAGGTATATTTAACTACTCAGCTGCCCTGAACACTCCTAAATATCTTACCTTTAAAAACCTTCTACCCTCTCCCTTCCTGATCTCTTCCTGTTAAAACAGTGTTGCCTTAAATGACTTCATTCTTTCCTTAGATATTCTTGATTTCTTATATTTGTCCAGTAATTTTAATCAGATTAAAATATATCACTGATATAATTACTATTATGCAAGTATAATCCTATGATTAGAAATAGAAATGATAATGATAAAAATTAAGTATGCTTTGGTATCAATCTTTGCTATACATTTTATTGATCCTAACTTGTATACATGTCACTTATGTATCCCATACTGTATACAGTATGTCATGTATACACTACTAAACTAATCTTACCTTCAGCACTTCACTATCCCTGCCTGTCTCCATCTTTCCCTGGTAAATAATGACATATGTTACACAACTCGCTTTGTATAAGTTAATTCACCCCAAGGGTCCAAATGTATTTTAGATGTCCCTGGGGTTGTGCTCACTAAACTGGAGAGTCTACTCCAATTCCCTGCTCATGTTCCATGTGTCTGCTGGCTGCTGCTCCTACTGAATCCTACATTTAAGTACTAATATACCAGTTAGACCTTTTGAATAGCATGCTGTTCTGGGACAATCAGATGTTTTAAGTGACATAAAAAATCGTACGTAACTTGTAAAGAACTAAAATGTCCAATTAATTATGAGTTCAATTAAAGGCTCGATTAAGCAGCCGGGGGTCCTTGACTGATCAGATCCTGTATTGATTTGAAATTAAATCTGACTTTCCCGTTGCATAAACTCCACTTTTGCTTCCACACTATCAATCAGATAATGTGCTGGCATCTCTGTGAGTGCAGGAGGCGCTGATGGGGTGCCACAGCTCTCAGTGGGCACATGAAACACATTAATTTTCAAAATAGTTACATTAAAAACAAACTCTGAACAATCCAGGCACAGTAGGAACTGACAAAAATAAAGCACTGGAAAACCACAGCAAGAATAACTTCCTCTGGAAAAAAATGTGGCTAAACAAGGCAACTGTATCTGTGTATCTGGTCAGAGTCATGAATAAACACAGCTACTACAGTATATAATAATGATGAAAAAGTGAGTAAAAAAAGATGCGTGTCCACATGGTTTGGATTTTTGGGTTGTGGGAGCTGAGACTTAGATTTATGAACGTGCTTTTTCACATCAAACTTGTTTCCATCTACTACAGTGTATTTATTACATTAAGGTTAAGGATCTGCAGAGGATATGAAAATATATATATACTTGAGTCAAAGGGTTTCCTTATTACAAATTCAGGATGAGACATTTTAGGGTTATATATGCATGATTTTGACCACAGCACTAAATCACATGTTAAAATGATGTTAGAAACACTGGCTATATTATATCCCTACCTGATGCTGAGAACCAATGTTTTTGTTCTGTTGAAAATGGACTTCTATAATGATTTATTTTCGTAGTGTAAGGCAGGGTACCTTGCACAACTGTGCACCGTGCTAATGTTACTCACCATAAATGATGTGCCCAAGGGCCGCGCCCCTATGGCTGTGCCAGGGATTTTAGCAGTCACCTACAGAAAGTGGCGAGACATTTTTAGTCGCATAGTAGCGAATAAAGAAATTAATAAATTTCAGTACTGGGGGAAATCCGACTTTTGTAAGCAAGAGTCTGGACACTCTTTCGTGGGTTTGATGAGGAATGCGCTATCTGGTGGAATACTCAAGCTGATTCAAAAACTTCTTCATTTTAATATTCGCTGGTGATATATTATACTAATACCTCAGCTAGTACTAGTTAAAAAACAGACTTCCATCCCAGCAATAATCCCCTGACATTTTTAAACAGCTCTGAGTGTGTTTCTTCTGTACACGACATTAAAGACACTTACAGGAGGCCTCCTTCCATGGCTGGTCTTAACTGCCTGCTGAAACCCCGCATCGTTCTCCAAGTCCTGCAAAACACGCCCACAGTGAGAAGAGCAACAGACCGAATTAAAATGAAAAATTAATAATATTATCCGGTTTTAGAGACACTTGAGCTCTTCCCTTGCTGAATCCTCCACATTCTACATTTTTTTTAACCTAAAAACTGCTGTGATAAAACATAATCACAGACAGGTTTGGGATATAATCTCATGTGGCATTACTAATGCTGTTTGGAAGATAACTTCAACCTAGATAAAGGATACTTGCCTAATGTAATGAATAGATGACCACTTGTGCATGAATGTTTTTTTCTTCAGCTTGTGAGGACCTCATGTTTTCATTTACTGATCTTGTGGAACTTTTAATACAAACACAAGTGTTTTTAACACCAGTAAACGAAACTAGCAATCAGCGCTACCAGAAAATCAGTTTCTTTCATTCTATCTTGAAACACAACACCTAGCAATACTACAAGTGTTTCACTCGTTCGTCAAACAGTGTGGAAAGAACGGTAATGCAATAAAACAACCGAGCACGTATTACTTACATCAGTGTCAAACGCTGGATTGTAGTCGTTGTAGCCGGAGTACAGATCATCTTCCTCCTCTGCTGCTAAGTGCACGCGTTCCATCATCTTCTCCCTGTTCAAGTCGAGCAGAGCTATCATGTGCATCAAAAGAAAAGCTGCGGTTTAGTGCTGCTTTCTGTGAAGTACTGTCAGTACGTCCTAGAGTACCCCAGTTGTAGCGATACCCCTACGTCACCACAACAACATGACGTCACGTTTCGGTTACAGATCTCCCCCATCTGAAGTACGCAACGGAAAGAAATTCACGGTTAATTTACGTAGTATCTGTTTAACTAACAATTATGTGCATCCATTGTTAGTTGAGAACTTTCTAAAACACAGCTGTCACAAATCATATTTTTGTAGTTGATTCGTCAGATTACGTGCCAGTGTGATGCAAAACATTTTAATGCGTAATCTTTTATGGGAGTCCAACTGAAAATATGTTTTGAGATACAAATATACAACAAATCGTGGATCACAATTTGTTTTAACTAAAAGTCGTGTAATGTTTACCGTAAAGGATAAGAAGTTAAGTTTTCTGCCGCCCGCTTGTTGTCAACCTGAAATCCATAGGAGCCGCCTCCCACAATGCACCGCGTGTCGCGTCTTTGCGAGACTGTGATTGGACGCCTTGCCTGTCAATCCACCTTGGAGTCTGCCTCCGGTTGTCGCCATTGGTTCACACGACGTAAACGTCTGTTGCCAGGAGACGCAAAATGAAGCTTTTGCGAGAGCTGAGGGGAATCGGCGTGTATTGCTAGTTAGAAAAGAAAAGACTAGGAGAAAGAAAACAAATACTTATAAATCCCTGGTATGATGTATTTCAATAATGAAATGACCTGATCTGTAGTTAAAATACATCCGTGCTCTTCCCTACAAAAAAAAGAATAATCCTAGATACAGCACAATTATGAAATATTCAGTGTGGTGTAAACATACAAGTCATTTCATACAACTGAAAACTTAATCACTGCAGTAGCTGACGGCGCAAAGTTAAATCTGCAGCAAATGATAATATATTATAGCTACACATATTAGTAACTCTCTGGTTTTAGCGCAATAAATAAATAGAACACAAATATAACAATATAGCCAGCAGCCATATCACCCTGCAGCTCACTGCTCAGAGCTGGCAGCTGACAGCCCTCTGAAGCTCAGCAGTGTGAGCCTGGTCAGTACCTGGAGGGGAGACTCCTGGGAAAGCTAAGGCTGCTGCTGGAAGAGGTGTTAGTGGGGCCAGTAGGGGCGCTCGCCCTGTGGTCTATGTGGGTCCTAATGCCCCAGTATAGTGATGAGGACACTATACTCTAAAAAGGGCACCATCCTTCAGGTGAGTTGTTAAACCGAGGTCCTGACTCTCTGTGGTCATTAAAAATCCCAGAGCATTTCTCGAAAAGAGTAGGGGTGTTACCCTGGCCAAATTTCCCATTGGCCTTTATCAATCATGGCCTCCTAATCACCCCAGCTATCATAATAATAATAATAATAATAATAATAATTGCTTACACTTATATAGCGCTTTTCTGGACACTCCACTCAAAGCGCTTTACAGGTAATGGGGAATCCCACCCCCACCAATGTGCAGCCCCACCTGGATGATGCGACGGCAGCCATAGTGCGCCAGAACGCTCACCACACATCAGCTCTCAGTGGGGAGGAGAGCAGAGTAATATAGCCAATTCATAGAGGCCGATACACCGTATAAATCGCTTTGGATAAAATCGAATATTGGTAGTCTTAAAGCCTGACCCAATACCCTCTATTTTCGTGAAGACTTGTTAATGGTACTGCCTTTTTATGCCTATTTAAAAAAAAACATTTTAATACAAACATAACTCGAATGGTAGTTTTTTGGACAGCGACAATATGGAAAACGGTTGAGTAAATAATAACGCGTGGTAAACTCCGAGTCTGTATTTAAAATCTTAAAACTGTACAAAAACATCTTTGTTCAGTTGAATGGAAAAAGAGAAAAATTGAACATGGGAAAATATTTCACAGAGTGCTGTGAAGAAGGTTCAGATAAACCTGCTCGCAACCGGAGCGCAGGCAGGACTGTTCTGAATCGTGTTAATCCGTACTCGATTACACCTTTTCCGAGCATGTTGTCAAGTAAAGTAAATAAACCGCCGCTGGAGAAGGCCTCCCAAAGATAGCGGAGGTTAGTTTTTCGTCCTTTGATTTGAACAGACTGCAAACTCCCCTTTAAACACGCCCTTTAAACGCGTTTACTGTACCGCACACACTGTCAGGAACTTGGGGAGCGCAGGCAGTCCACAGTCTGGTTGTGAAAACCGTAGAGGACAAGCAGGCATGAATACTTCAAAAGCAAAGACCATTGCTGTGATCGGGAGGTGAGTTAGGTTAATAATTATGCAATTATGCTGCCCTTTTTAGTCTCATTCTGCAGATACGCTACACTGTAGCTAGTTGGTGTAAGGCGTAACGCTACAGTTTTACATTAATTTTTGATAGTGGACGTGGAAGTTGACATAATCGATCACGTTGAAGTTTTGCAATAAGAGCTTTTTTATTAACAACAAGGCGCCTTTTCTGAACAATTGCAAAACCCGGAAACAGTTATTATTAAATGCGGCAAATATGTTAAAAACGTGTCAGCTGAGCACACTCTGCAGAAGCGAACTTGACTCGTCTAAGTGTAGATCGCACTTCCTTTCTCTTTGCTGTGCATAATTTTACCATTTAAACTTGCATGATTTCTTTTTAGACTTTGAAAACTCTGATCACCACTCGCTGATGGATGAAAGTCTACGAAACATTTCGAACATTATTACTAACAGAAAAAGATAACATTTTTATTCATGAATAAAATCTGATTGTACTACAGTACGTCATGCTAGAATACCGGGTGTATAAGCTTTAGAAACTGTGGAAACGATACATATTTGGTGCGATGAATATTTGTTCACTTGTTACGTGTTTGCTGACTGAACACTGAAAAATACATCTGTTATTTCACAATACTGTGGGTACATCGACCCATATGGCCTTTTTCAGAATGGTCTTCTCCAGGACAAAGCAATACATTATTAAGTTATTGGTTGGAAGAACTTCGTTTGAAATGAAGTTTTACTTGATTATATAGGTATATTATTTCAGGTGGATTTAATTAATATTGCAGAAACACAACTCAAGTAGCTAGAATGAGTAGTGTTTGCTGTTTGTTAACAAACTCTTGAAAATTAAAAGTTTAATTGCCAGCAAAAATGAAAGGTTTTACTTTTTTTTAAGTTAAATTTTGAGATAAAACTGAAAAACATAAAACAATATGTGCCTTTTCTTGTGTTTCTTGTTATTGTCAGTATGGACTGTGATGCCTAAGGTCAAAAAAGTATTTGGTCACCCCAAGTATACAACTTTGAGGCCAGATGAAGATGTGTCTGAATAATTCAGAATTAGTTCCAAAGTAATTCTGCGCTGAATTGCTGAATCCCACAGTAATCCATTATCAGAGAGATTAGCAGGGTCAGCAGCAACATGGAGTCTGTTCCCTGTAGGACATTAGGTGGGATTATACCCTGGACAGCATGCCAGTCTGTGGTTGGGCACACTCACAGCTTAGAGGTATCCATTAACCTCACCAGTATGTCTTCAGAGGAAACTGAAGCACCCAGAGAAAATCCTCAGGCCACACTGGAACCCAGTGCTCATGAGCTGTGAGTTAGCAGTAGTCACACCTATGCACTAAACATGCAGTTAGCCTCAACCATGCAATTCAAGCAAATTGCAGCAATTTTGAAGTCAGTGATAGTTGTCTCGGGTTTATTTTGTATTTTTTAGTTTTTCAGTATGTCATTATTTGATAAACGTGTGTGAACAACTCCACATTAGTCTTATTTCTATCTGCTCCTAACTGTGAATAGGATCTAGTCATGATCCCAGCAGAACAGGATTAGGGAAAAGTGCCAGGCAGGGCTTAAGGAAGGAGTCTTCATGCTTTAATGTTTGGTTTGGTGTAAACCTGGAGTTATAGTGAAGATTAGATTTAAAGGGGCAACTTTAAGGTTAAATTTCTGTCAGGACTTGTCAGCGATGTTAAAAGCTATCAGCAATATCTCCACTCCTACAAAGTAATCTTGCTTTTTGAAACCATCAGTAAATGCCCATCTCTTGAGACACTTGCAATGCCCAAAGTTCCTATATGTTTCTGTTTTTTTCACCTCAGATAACTGCTTGATTGTACTAAATAAATGAGATGAAACATTTATGTGTACTATTGTGATAATTAACATTACAGCAGTAATGTTGCTATGGCGCAGTGGCTCTGTGGCTAAGGATCTGCACCTGTAGCTGGAAGGTTGCTGGTTTGTATCCTGTGGCCGACACAGGAATCATACTCCGTTGGGCCCCTGAGCAAGGCCCTTCACCCCAACTTCTCCAGGGGTGCTCTAAAAATGGCTGACCCTGCGCTCTGACCCCAAGCTTCTTTCCTGTCTGTGTGTCTCATGGAGAGCATGGAGAGTTGGGGTATGCAAAAAAACCAAGTTCCTAATACAAGAAAATTGTATATGGCCAATAAACTGACCTTATCTTTAATTGCATTGCCCTTTCCATTTGGACCAACAATGCTATAGGTCTAATTGTGCTCTTAACTGTAGCTGACCCCTGGCGTTTGTAATGGTGCTGTTCGCTTGTGTTCACAGAGAGAATAAGCCTGCCTTTCCAGCAATGGCAGAAGCCTGTTGCATTCACAGTACAGTGCTGAGCAAGGCCTTTCGGTGCTCATATCAGCCATACGTTGTGTACAGCAGGCTCACAGCAGTGTTCTGCATGAGTGATGGAGGAGACAGCAGATAGATACTGTAGATCATTCCTCATGTTGTCTTTGTCATCTTCGGCTTATAATTTATTTTGAAGGGATTTGAGTGTTTATTTCCCAGGTTTTTTAATATATTGCTCAGATGAATATGAGGGTTACACACCTATATTCTACACTCTAGAGTCAGCAAAGTGTGAAGGAGATGAAGTATCTTGAGACAGCAGTGAAGGACTATGTATTTGTAGTACTGTATGCCAAATGTTCTTCACAGGGAGGTGAGAACTAACACAGTGACGTGAATCATGAAAGAGTTTACCATTTTGTTAGATTGCACAGATATTGTAGAGAATTCTAGCTAAGGGAATATAAAAAATAAAGGAGGATAAACTTCCTGAATCACTGTTCCTGCTTCCTGCCATTGTTTTTCAGTTACAGAGGATGAGACTTCATCGCTTAGGAAACAGAGGTTACAGCAAACCAGCTGCTAGCTACTCATTCATATTTTTTTTTCTTCATTTGTTTCGAATTCCATTTCACTGTAACACTGAATTTATGTAGCATAAATCACATAGATTAGATTATTTCTGATGCCATATATAGCAAAATAGTCCGTTCTGAATGTGTTTAACAATGGTGTGCACTCACCAGCACTGTACTGTGTGCATTTAAAAAAGAGCTGAATATCCCAGTTCTCATTGTGGCATAAATATTAAGAATCTGAGTGTTTGCGTTGTAGAGCCCACCGAGCTCTATACATTTTTAATATATAGTGAAAAATCAAGTTATGCTGCATTAACAGCCATTGCTTTTCAGACTAGGCTTTCTTCTGCCTGAGCAATACCGTGTATTGTCAAGATCCTTCAGTAATGGATTGAGGTACAGTCTGACAGCAGGGGTGATAATATGTCATGCTTTCTGCCTGATGGTGTGGTGTGGTTCAGCATGCACAGGAGTTACAGAGACATGCACTTTGAGCCCACTGGAGCTCAGCAGGTGTGAGCCTGGCCAGTATCTGGATGGGAGACCTCCTGGGAAAAATGAAGGCTGCTGCTGGAAGAGGTGTTAGTGGGGCCAGCAGGGGGCGCTCACCCTGCAGTTTGTGTTGGTCCTTAATGCCCCAGTATAGTGGCGGGGACACTATATTGTAAAAAGGCGCTGTCCTTCGGATGAGACATAAAACCGATGTCCTGACTCTCTGTGGTCATTAAACCAAGGGTGCTTCTTGAAAAGTGTAGGAATGCTACCTTGGTGTCTTGGCCAAATTTCTCATTGGCCTTTACCCATCCTGGCCTCCTAATAATCCCCCTCTCTGAACTGGCTTCATCACTCTGCTCTCCTCCCCACTGAGAGCTGTTGTGTGGGGGGAGTGGACTGGTGCATCATCCAGGTGGGGCTGCACACTGGTGGTGGTGGAGGGGAGTCTGCATTACTTATAAAGTGCTTTTAGTAGAGTGTCCATAAAAGTGCTATATGAGTGTGAGGAATTATTATTATTATTATATTTATGTCCTGCTTTTCCGATACCCTGGTGACGGTCCTCTTGATGACACCCAGCACAAGATGTTCCAGCACTACAGTGTTCTGTTCCTGTCTCCTCATGATTAAGCAGAACATTACCATGACACTGCATGTACAGGCATAGTCCTGCTTCATGGCCTTCATATATAATAAAGTTATTCATTTTATTTTGGGGGACCCCTAAAATTTTAGGTGATCTCGAGTGATTACTGTGTCAAAATGAACGGGCATTAACAGGCTGATAAGAGTCTAATAAATGTTTAGCGATATGCAGAAGCCATGTTGACCAGCAGTTTGGTGGGAAACTGATTTTAAAACTGCTGCTTGAAACGCTGCTGTCCAGTATTAAAGGTGAACCAGAGGACATGGGGAAACCATATGGAAGTGCATTTAAACAGACTTCTTTACACAGGGGGTTGTGGAAGACTGGAGTATCTTAAAAAGTCTTCTTTCAGGAAATGATGGGGTGAGATCTCAGGATCAATAAGCGATTGACAATCAAACTGGCCTCCTCCTCTCTTTTATACCCTTTCGGGCGTTCTGTCCTTCCAGTGATGGCTGCCAGTGAAATCTGTTGTTTTTGCTCTGCTGTTGCAGTGGGCTGATTGGGCGATCCTGGGCCATGGTGTTTGTGAGTGGAGGATACAGAGTGAAGATTTATGACAACCAGCCTGGGCAGGCCACCTGCGCCGTCGAAGAGATCAGGTGTGTGAACATACAAAAAACAGTACTTCAAAAACCAGAAACAAAAAACAGTACTTACAGGGATTTAGAAGTGCAACAAGGTTCTATAATGTATTTTTTCTTCATCTTGTTTTCCACATTTAAGGCTGGTTGACAATACTGCTTCGGATTTGGGTTTCAAACAAAACAAGTGTGATGCCACTCTTTTCATTCACGGAATAAAACAGAATCAGAGCTTTTCTCTGTAAAAAAAAACCCTCTCTTTCTTCAGGCTCATTCGTCTCTCACGTACAGCTGTCGGTCCCCAGACTGCATCACAGAGCCGTTCTCGTTTCAGACTCGTTCGTCCCGTCCAGGGTGTACCATGCCTGTCGCACGTTGCTTGCTGGGATTGGCCCCAGCTCCCCTGTGACCCTGTAGTGGACGAAGTAATCCAGCATCATTAACACCTGTGTCACGCCCTCTGCAGCCAGAGGGCGCACCTTCTCTGTCCTGTCCCTAGTTTCCGGTCTGTTGCTGTCCTTCCGGTCCCTCTCTTTCCCTTGGGCTATATATTTCCGGGTCTTGCATTCTGTCCTGGCTCAGCATTGACGTTCGGATGTCCTGAGACCCGCCTAGCACCAGGGCGCCCCACGTCCGCTCCCTGAGGGCATAGGTTTCTATACGGCATTCCTGAACTCTTTGCACTAATGAGCCCGGGCCTTTTTCCCGTCTTGCCGCTACGCATATGGGTCTTTTCCGCTCTCCTGCTCCCCACGGTTAGTCCCTTTGGACGTCCGTGACAACCTGTAGCCTGATCTCCTCAGACCTCAGAAGCAGAGGGAGGTTGGGCCTGTTAACACGGAGATGAGGGAGACCTCTAATCCGTGAAGAAATTGAGCTTGCTTCTATGAACTGTTGCCGAGGGGCCAACAGGTAGCAGAACTTCCACACCAGTGCCCCAGTTTATTGGCAGGGAGCACTGTACTGCAGAAAGTGCTGTCCTTTGAATGGGATAATTTTGAGATTCAGGTTACTTAGTCATTGAAAATCCCTGGTGTCCACAGGAGTCGAGAAGCTACCCCAGTGCTGTGACACAATTCCACTTCGAGCACGGACAGTCCGGCCTTCCTGAATTCCCACCTTTATTCGGCTGGTGAATCATTTCTCACTTCTCCACCGGATCGGATCGTAAGAGCTGCAGGTGGGATCTGCAGTGATTTTCCAAGAGGAAAACCGCAATGAAAAAATAAAAGGAGTTATATATAAATACAATCAGCCCTAGCACTTTTTATCAGGAGAAAAAAAGCCTCTCATTCCCTGTTTTCGGTCCTGGTGACCTCCGGGGCAGCCTATTATGCCTGCCTGAGCAAGCCTGGCTACTGTCTCTGCACTCCTGCCCCGACCTGCGGATACCGACTGACAGGTTTTATAGTTTCTAACCTTGGCAGGAGAAGAAGGAGTTTTCATTGGCAAATACATTTCCACCTCTGTTTTTTTTTTGTCTCTCTGTTCAAATAGTTTCAAATTATTTTTTAAAAGCGTGGTTACTTTTTCACCAGGATCTTTTCACCTTTTTCGCCACGCTCCACGAGTTCGGGTCAGTTTTGTCTGGCTGCGCAGTCCAAGTCAGCGGACTCTTCAGGAGGGCAGACGGACGACTGGGTCGTGCTCACATGTGAGAGAGCTTGACCCCCGTGACCCCTCAAAGCCACCCTTGTTCCACCTGTCCTTGGGGCGTAAACTGTGTGTACTTTGCAGATCTTGCGTCCCTTCTGATTCTGGGTTCAGTAGGTCGCAGCCCTTGAATGCTTTTATCGGGGCGCCTCGTAGTTTTCTGTGTTCGGGGATGGAAAGGTCCAGTCTCTTCAGCCTGTCGTTTCGGGATGTTCCCGTACCCCCGGAATAAAATCGGCTGATTTGTTTTTTTTTAACGTGCAGATTGACATGTAGCCTGTCCATAAGGGCGTGGGAAACGTTGCGGACGAGAGCAGGTCATTCGCCCATCCGGCCCGCCTGGCTCCCGCCGTCCTCACGGGCTCAGCACGGCGTCCCACACGAGTCCGCACAGTGTCTGCCCATCCAGCTCAATTTAGTTCTGTCTTTGCTCTCATTTTGAATGGCCAGGTTCTGTTGGGTTCTCTGGAATCGCCAGCTGTTTTCGTGTTTTTCGCACCCTGGCTCTCGACCTGCGACGCACGGAGGGCTGAAGAATAATAATGATAATCATTCCTCACACTTATATAGCGCCTTTCTAGACACTCCCCTCGAAGCGCTTTACAGGTACTGGGGACCCCCTCCACCCCCACCAGTGTGCAGCCCCACCTGGATGATGCGCCAGTACTCTCCCCACACACCAGCTCTCAGTGGGGAGGAGAGCAGAGTGATCAAGCCAGTCAGGACCTCTGTTTTGCGTATCACCCGAAAGACGGCGCCTTTTTACCGGATAGTGTCCTCGTCACTACACTGGGGCATTAGGACCCACACAGACCGCAGGGTGAGCGGCCCCTGCTGGCCCCTCTAACACCTCTTCCAGCAGCAACCTTAGTTTTTCCCAGGAGGTCTCCCATCCAGGTACTGATCAGGCTCACGCCTGCTGGGCTCCAGTGGGCTGCCAGCTGTTAGCTGCAGGGGGATGGAGCTGCTGGCTGGCCACACTGCCTGAGTCTGCTGTGAGTTGGGAGGAGGCTCTCCCCTGGGCAGTGGGAGTGATGGTGTGCTCCCTCTCGCTCCGTGCAGGACGCAGCTGAGGGAGCTGCAGCAGTCGGGCATGCTGAGGGGCGCCCTGAGTGCCGAGGACCAGCTCGCACTGCTCAGCAGCCACCAGGACCTCAAACAGACACTAGAGGGCGCCTTCTTCATTCAGGTCAGTATTCAGGCAGTGTGTCCTGCTTGAAGCTGGTTCACATCACCTGTCTCTCTTTGCATTATTCCACAAAGGGGTTTGCTATGCCGTACTATTTTATTCATATAAATATTATTTCGGCGGGGCCGTGTATGGTATGGGACGTGGTGCAGGAATTTGAACAGGATTGATTCATTCCAGTGAAGAGATGGACATGATATCCCACTTACACTAACACTGGCACAGTTAAAGGTCAAAGATGTTTATATCCACATTTGAAGTTCGGAATAATGGCAAATAAATTAATCATATCAAATTAATTAAGTAGCACCCTTCTTCACCTTTCTTATGATTATAAATGTGTAGGATGTTCCTTTTTTCTAAAGGATAGCTCCAATATTAAACGCTGAAATTATTCAGCATATGGAAAAAGGGTCTTTTTTGGCTTAGCTGGGGACATTTGTCATGCAGTATAATATATGTTTATAGCCAAACTTTATATGTTTATAACAGGTCTAGCAGGGGTACCTTGGATCATTACTGTACACCAATGAGACCAGTGAATGATGAAAAGGCTATTGTTTGATTGAGACACAGAGCTGTAGCTGCATGAGTCTTGGAGCAATGTGAGCTTTGCCTCTTTCCTATACGGAGCAAGACTCACACTTCCGGACACAAAGTCAGGCTGTCCCACGGATTGTAAATGTCTTACAAAATGACAAAAATACCTGGCAGTTTGTGTAGAAAGCTTCGTGACGTCTTTGGGATTTCTGGAGAGCTTGTGGAAGAGAGATGGACGTGGCGCCGTCAGTGAGCGATTCCATGGGATCTGCCAGCCTCCTGGGGTGCAGTCTGGGGCTGAAGAGGCCCGGAGGGTCGCTGAGCTGGGCGCCAGCCAGAGGGAGGTGTAGAGCTCTGTGGTGCAGAGGTGGGGATGCGTGGCACTGGGTGACAGGGTTAAGCCTTCTTCCCCGAGTCCCCTTGACAAAGTGGCGCACAGTCTGAATTTCTCTAACTTTGCCTTCACTACTGTATAATCAAGATCATCCAAGTGCTCCATTTTCTGCTTCCCATGTTCAAGATTTGAATATATGCTTGAGGAATGAGCTTCTGAGGTGTAAGGACAGAATTTCAGGGGGTACAGCTCTTGGCCTGCCAGCAGTTCTTCAAGACAAGTGCTTTTCTGTGTCCTTTGATTTTACTTCCTCCTCCAGGGTGTTTTCTCTCAGGCTTCGGACTTTTCCTTTCAGCCTCTCATTCTAAGGTTCGTGACTAAGGGGGCTTTTGTTTCAGGTTTTCGTGCCGTATTTCCCGCAGGCTTTTTTTTAATGTTTTTTTTTTCCCTCTACAGCTCCCTTTAAATTCTATTAAAAATCAGTCCGATGGCGCTCCATTTCCTTGAGCCCTCCCCCCTGTCAGGGCAAGTTTCTGAAACCCTTCTCTCGCCATGAACCAGTTATTGTTTTGTGTGCCAGTCTGCGCTCGCAGTAGGTTTCCATAAATGTGAAATATGTAAATTGTGTAGGACAGAGAACAGTTACCCTGACCTGTTTGACTATCACATGCTGCTCCACACAAGGATCTCATACTGATTTTACTAGTTCTCGCTTCAGCTCCTAACATTAGCTTTGTTGTTCTTTTTTTTGGCTTACAATGCAGTATTATTTTAAGAAACAATATGCCGCATTTTAATGGAAACAGTCAGGGACTTTGACTTGAGCCAAAATTTAACATGCATAAAAATTTGAAAGAAACTTTACTCGGGTTTTATTATTTTTTTCTGGGAAGAATGAGAGGAAGAAATTTCCAAGCAGATCTCGAGTGATTAAGACTCCTGCTGAAGCACGTTTGGGAAGAATTTCTGTTTTGTTACTTCTGATTTGATATGACAGCCCTTTCCAGCCTGACGGGACAGTCGTGCTGGAAGCAGCTAACTGAGATTACCAGCGGGAGAGTCAGGAGAGGTTTTGCAGTCTCATTGACTGCTGCCTTTCAGTCCCACTCCGATTTCAACCAGATCAGTCTGCCAAACACTTCTGCCTTCCGAAGAGCAAAATCGATGGAGATAAAAATTCCCGAAATTGTGTGTTGTGTGTTGCATGAAATGGTTTAAATTCTGAGGGATACTGAATCAGAATTTACACTTGCATCTGAATTTAAATTCAGGCCAAGTGCGGAGTCCAGAAAGTGACACCTGAAAGTTTGTCTGCTTTCTGTGTCCTGGTGACCTTCCCCAAAGTCAAGTGGACTGTGTGACTGGCGGGTGTGTCCAAGTGGTGATTTCATGTTCCTGGCCTGCCTGTCCAATGTCATTCCTTCACTTGAGGAAGAAGCATAGGAAAGTCAATGTGATGCCTTATTTCAGAGCTGATTATTTTTGTCTCAATTAGTCATAATTAATCAGCCAGTTAGTGAGTAATTAGTGAGTTTTTTTTTCCATAGACATCTGTTTTAGGAACAGGTTGCCTTGGTTACGCCAGTGGCATACAGATGCCTACTGACGTCATGCATTGAAGTAATTGTCACATGTCAATACTACAACACCTTTTAAGCCACCGGATCTCACTTCAACAAACCAATACTTCGCAATAACGAGCTCGTTGTTGAAGGAGATTGACCTGTTTTTCACCTGCTTTGAACCCACGTGGTGTTGTCAGTACTACTGCAGTACTTCGTTTTTCTTTTCTTAAATGGTGATTGCCTGCATGTGCTAACGTTGCACGCATGCCTGTATGTGTGTAATCAATATAACAGATTTATTCCGACAGTGGAGTCGAGAATTCAGCAAACACACACAAGCGTTGGCTGCAGTAACAGGGGACGCAGGGTTAGAGCACTGTGGAGAGGGGAAACCACTCATGCACTGGTCCAGTAAACAGCAGCTTTTATAAGAACTTAACTTTCTTACTGTTTGCAGATTTTCAGAAGATGCTTTTGACCATCTCCATGCCTGGCCCCTGACCGAGGTCACGGGAGGAACTGAAATGAAAAGAGGTCTGGAGAGTCACGTTGTCAGGCTCTCTCAAGCCATTATTGACACGCTTTGCTTCCTTTTGTCTGTTATCTGTCAGTTCACCTCTGTGTTGAAGGGTTGGCATTGTGGCAGTTTCCCGAAGGCAAGAATGATTCGAGTGTTAGTCCTGTTCATGCTGGGGAGCCCCAGAGGAATCATTTCAGAACAGACCTGTATGACAAAGATTAATCTGAAACACGTGAGCAGGTACCAGAAAGGGCACCGAACAACATGAGCACGCTGCACGGATAACAGGCTGGATCTTCCGATAGGACTTTGACTCCGTCATGCTGCCGAGAGAACCCAGTCACGAAAGAAGTGGATTTTTTTAAACAATGCAGTTCTCTTCTGGCTGGGCGAGTGAGTTAAGTGCTGTATGTGTTTTTTTCTGTTAAGTAACTGCATGTGTTTGCAGGATGCTACACACATTTGTGCTGTATGGTTGCGCATAGGCTTAAGGTACTCGTTAGACAACTATTACTGTAGGTGTCCAAGGAACAAGTAAAAGGTTTATTCCCTGCTGAAAAGAGAAGACAAGAAACACAACATTTCGGCTGTGGAGCCTTCTTCGGCTGTGAAATCGGCAGCTGAACAGGAGCCGGGAGCAGGAGCGAAGCAGAGTGGACACTCGGGGGGGGTGAATTTTAAAGAGGTGAAGAGAGGTGTGGAGTCAAAACGTCACACCTTCACACCTCGGCGACAATACCCCACGTCCGCATTAGTTCCTTGGATGACAGTGGCATGACTGCAGGGACTGCAGGGGTTTAAAGAGTGGAATCAGCTTTCGGAAGGATTGGTTATATTATTCCTAATCTTAAAAGTCAATGAAGCAACTTGTGGGAAAAATTTGTTAAACCTTTAATTATATAATGTCGTACTCACCTTTCCGATGTGCGTATTGATGCAGTGTGCAGCATTTGGAAAGACGGTGTTGAAAGAAGGTGTTTGAAGATTTCATTATTAGGATTAACCTCAGAGTTGAGATGGGGAGTCTTGCTACACAGCCACCCCAGTGAAAGACCTCACAGCCCATCAGGTTTGTGTTTGTACTGCTGCTGTGTACAGTACGTGGAGGTTTGCTCTCCTCCAACAGCCTAACGTTGGTTTCATTCCCTCAGAAGTATTTACAAGTATAAGCTCTAAAATATTTCTCATTTACTCTCCATGGGTCATTTTAACATTATAAAGCCTGGATTAAAACAAAACCTGTTGCTTTTCAATCACAGTACATAATCGCATGTTTTGCCACTGGGTAGGAGCAGAAAGACTCTGGCCAGGTTTTACCATCGCACACTGGGCATTTATCTGGCAACTGGCAGGTGTGTAGAGGGTTTGACTTCATCTTGGCTAAAGTGTCACTCACCAAAGCACAGTTTAGAGAAAAAAAAAACTCCTGCAGAATGTGCTGTAGAAGTCAGAAGAACAAGAGGTGTCCAAAACTCACTTTTCAGTCAAAGAATAAGTAGCCTACTGCCCATTTGAACATGGAGCGAGAGATTCAGTGTTGCGGGCAGTTTGCTTTCTCACAGACGCTTCGGGTGTCAGAACGACAGGAGAGATTTTCTGTTGACGCTAGAAGAAAACGGACCCAGGTTTGTTTTGGTGAAATATACATTTTTAAAAGGAAGCACAGCGAAGGGAAAACAGAACTTAGAAATGGTTTCACTTTATAGTACGTGGAACATTCGCATTTTGCAATTTGTCATGTTCTTAACATTAATTATTGGTGGCATGCCCAAGTTTCGGAAACAGGGTTGCTTAGACACGTCCAGAGCCGTCATCGTGTCCCAGTTCCTCTTTTCCTGCTCCGCTATACTCCTCCTTCAGCTGCCCACCCACAGTGTCGTGCTCACTATTTAGTCAGACACTCCCTTAGGATCTCAGCAACTTTCAGCCTTTTCCACTTATGTGTAGATGACTCAGCTTTTCAGCTTTGGGGTAGATATGATATTAACTCTGCTAACCACTTTTTAAAGTATGGTCCTGACTGCTTTGTCACTAAAGCCATATCAAGGTTAGCTGTCATTTCACCCTGCAGCCCACAGCTGGCAGCCCACTGGAGCTCTGCACTGTGAGCCTGGTCAGTACCTGGAGGGGAGACCTCCTGGAAAAAACTAAGATTGCTGCTGGAAGAGGTGTTAGTGGGGCCAGCAGGGGGCGCTCACCCTGCGGTCTGTGTGGGTCCTAATGCCCCAGTATAGTGACGGGGACACTGTACTGTAAACAGGCGCCGTCCTTCGGATGGTCGTTAAAAGTCCCAGGACGTTTGTCGAGAAGAGTAGGGGTGTTACCCTGGCACACTGACCAAATTTCCCCCTGGCCTTTACCAATCATGGCCTCGTAATAACCCCCATCTCTGAACTGGCTTCATCACTCTCATTACCACTTTGACGGGAGCGTCCAGAAAAGCACTTTATAAGCGTAAGGAAGTATTATTATTAAAGATCCAGTGCCATTGTTCAGATAAAATATGGGTGTTGCCTTGGTGGCTAAACTGCACTTTGAACTTACCTTCTTAAACTTCCCCCTTGATTCTGCTGGTGAATCTCCTTGAGTCTGGTCTCTAGTGGGGCTGCCCACTTCACAGCTGGGTTCCTGCCCACTGTAGATGTAAGGAGATTTGGGGTCCTTTTGGACGAAAGATACTGTAATACAGCTCAGGACCTTGACTTTGACCTTTTCAACGATAACTAAGAAGTAAGGGCCTCCTGGCCCATTTGTTTTCCTTCTGTTTTCCTCGTTCTGCCCTGTACTAAATCTTACAAAGTAAACATGTTACTTTTTGTACCATACAGGATAGAGGCTGTGTGAAACCCGCAGCAGAAAAGCCATGGGGAGACGTTATGTAATCTGTGGGTGAAGTCAGCAGATGACAACAGAGAGTGTGAACTGGATTGGGAAATTCGTATTCTGAGGGGAATGGTGAGACAACCGGCTGTGGGCATTCTGGACTGCTCTCAGCAGAAATACAGATTTTCACGCTTTTCCGTTCTAAACTGCAGTAACTCTGCAGCTTAGAGTTAAGAATCTCTCATGCGGTTTTCATGGGATTGCTCCGCCAGGAAAGCAACCTCAATAAATGTCACAGGTGTCTAGAATGGGGAAAGGGCTTGTTGACTGAGGTTGGTTTAGGGAGTAAACGGTGCAGTCGAGCGACTGGGAGGCGGATCGAAAGCCCCCTGACCTCGTGGCCCTCGAGGACAGGCGTCCAGCCCGCGGCGCGGGGAGATGGGGGAGCCGTCTTGTGTTTTTCAGTGTCCTGAGGGACAGGCACTAGCGAGGGGGCCGAGTGAGCAGCGTGCTGGTTCAGCAGGCCGGGCAGTTCCCTGCTGAGCTGCCAGGCGCGGCGCACGGACACGAAGAGCCCCTCTCCCTGCTGACCCCAGCGAGCTTCTGTCAGGCTCCTCTGTGGGCGCCCGTGAAGCTCTCCGACAGCTGGTCATAGCGGAAAGTGAGGTAGATTCTAAAAAGCACCTGGGACACTGAGAGAGCTGTGGCCCTGCTGAAGCTGCAGGCTGATGAGTGAAGCAACTGTCTTCACCTCTGGAGGGGTCATTTCGGTTGTCTTGTGCGCTGGAGAAGACAACTCTCAGGACACAGTAACACAGAAAATCTTCGACTTCACTCACAGCAGCTGTTGTATTGGCAGCATAACCGTACATCAATGAGAGACTTTCAGCCCCCCAAGCTTCACTTGGAACGATTACTTCCCGGCAAACAACCCCCAAACCTGAGAGCTGTGCAGCGCGTTGAAGCTAACACACAGCTACAGAATACACGTCTTCATCAGAGTTCAGAACTTTCCCATCCACATCAACTTGTGTTAAAGCTGTACCTCTTAGGTGGTCAAGGGGAGGAAGCTCACGCAGGGTAATCTGCCCACATGTCTGACCCGACCTGACCTCTGACCTCTGACCTTCTCCAGCCAATGGTTAAACGCCCAGGACCGCTTGCTTCTGCTGTCCCTCTGTGTCTCACGGTACCCCTCCACTCTTTCTCTGGCACGTCACAGGTGTGCACCATACAGTGCCATTCACCCCTCCAGCTCCGGCGCCACCTCATCTTGTGTGACGGGAAGTTCTGCAATTTGAGCCCATAGAGGGAAGACATATAAAAGACTGACGTGTAGTTCTGTACGTGTTGAGTCTGTGGGTAGAGAAGAGGGCTAACTGGTTGAGTGCGCTGGTACATTCCCCTTTGTAAGAATGATTTCCTATCGGTCAAGCTAAGGCAAATAGTGTAAAACTACAGTACCACGGTGGCATTTCATGCCCTGAGCATTCATGATATCAATGAGATTTTCTCAAATGTGCTTGTGCATGTTATTGTAACAAAATGTAGTCTTGGCTTCCTCTGTCTGCAAATCTTTAAGGACCAATGCGCCTTGATCATTTTGTGTCTTTCTGTATTGTAAGTACAGAACATTCTGAGCATTGTGTCATCTCATCTGTACACACTGTTTGCTTTTATAAAATTGAATGGCTCCTCTCCACTAAAAAGCGCTGCTGTTCAGAGCCGGGCTGCATCAGAGAGTCTTTGTGGGGCAGGGCGGAGGTGCTGACTTCTGATCGTGGAAGGCTGTTACGAGTGCTGAGCCTGGCCTGTGCCAGAAACCACTGTTCGACACGGAGGGGTTAATTCAGCAGCTGACTTCCTCCAGCCAGCATGAACAGCTGAGGGTGTTCTTTGATTAATCCCCTTTTCATATTGTGAGGTTGTGCGTGCGCTTTTTTGCCTAGAGTTGATCTTTCAGTTCTCTTTTGTTCACACTGGCTTGCTGCTCTCTTTTTCTCTGCTAATCGGAAAAACCTCGATTTCCCCTTATTTAGGGATCCATTGAAAATGCTGATGTAGCTTTCAGACCGGGTGCGAGTTTCGTTGATAGTGTGTTTGCGAGGTTGTACGTTCCGATTACGCTGAGAAATGTGTCCCTGTATACAAAGTGCAATCTGCTCAAATAATGCAAGGCCTGTAGTTTGTCATCTGTGTCTTGGGGGAGTGTACAGAAAAATCCCAAATCAGCGTCAGTCAGCTTTGAGGCCTGCTTGTCCTGTTTTCTCCACTGCAGTGTGGTCCATGTCAGCACTTTGCCACATTCCGAGGGTCTTTGGTGCTCTGTGTTCGGCGGGGGTTTTGACCTACCGATGAAACTGTCTCCCGACAGGAGTGCGTCTTTGAGGACCTGGAGGCCAAGCGCGGTGTGTTCCAGGCTTTGGAGACCTGCGCCGAGGGCAGCGTGGTTTTCAGCAGCTCGACGTCCTGCCTCCAGCCCAGCGACGTCTTCTCTCGCGTCCAGCGCAAGTCGCGGTGCATCGTGTCTCACCCCGTGAGTGTCGAGCAGCCCCCTGCCACTCTGCATGCACAGCCACCGCAATAACGGTTCCTCCCTCCCCTCCGTGTGGGAGCAAGTCCAGCTGAGGGCAACAGACTTCCGCTCCCGTGCTCCTCAGAATGCAAGCAGCTCCCCGGGAGAAGCCAGGTTTGCTGTACATTCTGTCCCAGTGGGATAAGGTTTATTTGATCTTTGTTCGGCTTCCAGAATATTGTGAGGCTGTCTTTCAGTCAAATGCCTGGGTTGAACAGAGGGGTTGTTTGTGGTGCAATACTGGATTGTGCTATCAGGTGCTCGTGCTGACAAACAGCACTTTTCCACAGTGTAAGCAATGCAGGAGATAGGTGCTGATCTAGTAAATGAAACGATAACTTATTAATAGTATGTAGAAAATGAGTGCATGAACTCTGGAAGTCCCTACACTTAGATGAGTAGAGCTAAGAGGTTGTACAGAGGGACACATTTAGACGGTTTGCTGATTACATGATCCATGATTTTACTTTCTTCCATATTTCATCATCCTCATTCTCGCCCCAGTTATGTCCACAGACTATCCATTCAAACTCCTGCTCCTGTCTGCAAGAGACTTAGGCCCGGCAAGATTCACTTGCTTGCACTAAGGGGCTGCGTCACGTCATTCTACTGCATCAGTCATTGAGAGCAGCTCATATTCTGTGTTTTCGTTTTTTCAGTTGTAAAACCGGGGAAACACATGTTAAACTCCTCCAGAGGGGAGTTTGTGAAATTACTGACTTTGGTTGTTGCCTGTTCAATACAGTTCAGCCCCCGATCACAATCTCCTTTAAAAGGCAAAGCTCTAGTGGTCTAGCCAGCGTCTTCCCCCCACCAGCACAAGTATTGCATTGCAAGCCATGGGGAAGCTCTGGTTCACCCCGAGGTGCCAGGGGGGCAGTGTACTGGACTGGCTTGCTGTACACCTGGCCTTGGGCCTGCCGGAGTGAGGAGGCAGTGGTGCCCTTTCCCTGGCAGAAATACTGTACAATAGACGGGTATCTGGAGGGCAGCCAGCCATCATGAAACGGGCATTCAATGCCTCTCTTCAGCAGCCGAGCGTCCTGAAACTGACACCGCTGCTTGCAGCACAGATTAGCAATTCGTTCATCATCGGCCGGTTCCTAGATGACATTTTCTCATCCCTTGTAGCAGAGCGAGAGGTTCGGTTCCACTCGAGCAGACTGTCGTGCTGTCTCGGGCCACCGTTGTTCCAGTGGTGGAGAATGGCTTTGATGCTGTAAAGAAAAATATAAGGCAAATGTTGAGAGTAAAATCTGTCCAGAGAATGCAATCTCTTTCTGATCCCTTGTTTTACGTCCGTGTAGACGTTGACAAAGTAGCTCTGTGTCTGTTTCTTCGGCCGCTCTCACGCACACTGAAGGCAGCACTCCGTATTTCATCCCGAGGCCCTAAAGGAATGCGCCCATTACACCAGTCACAAACATGTCTCCCCATCTCCTCGTCAGGAGAACTCCTCTCCTGTCTGCAGGCCGGGTCTCGTGTTTCCAGCCGAAGATGTGACACACCGCTCACACCAGGCCTCCGGCAGTCCTGACTCTGAAACCCCTCACGCAGGGCGCTGGCTGGTTAAATTGTCGCAAAAAATACTCCCAAGTAGCATTTTCCCTTAAAAAATTAACTTGCCGTTTGGGAGGCTCTGGAATGTTAGCTCTTCGGTTGCTCATTAGCCACCTGGGGCTTAGCTGGGGGACGCACTGTAGCTGCGGTCCGGGGGGGTCCGCACTCCCGCAATAGCAGGAAAGGGGGAGTCTCGTCTGTCTCCGTGGAGGTGCAGGGGTGATAGTGGCGATCTGAGATCGTTATCCGTGGCCAATTCCAGGCAGGAGAAGAGAACGGAGGGATAATAACTGGCGATTGAGATCTGTTATTAAAAACGCACCGTTCAGCTGTGTCACTCTTAATCACTTACACTGATGGGTTTTTTTCGCTCGCTGCTTGTGCTGGCTTGAACTTCAGCTGTGTGTCATTCAGCTTTGTTGTTGTTTGCTGCTGCTGTTCTGTGTTTTGGGTTGGCGTTCCCTTGACGCGTTTGTATCGGCGCACACCTGCAGGTAAGCATCTCATTGCCCTTGTGGTGGCAAATGAACGGCACTGACCGCGAGGACGGAGCCCCTCCGGGCCCTGGAGCCCGGGGCCTCCGTTTCAGTCTGGCCGCGGCCCGTCATGCGTGCGTCTTTGTCCCAGGTCAACCCGCCCTACTACGTGCGCCTGGTGGAGCTGGTCCCTCACCCCGAGACCGACCCCTCGGTGATGGAGACCACCTTCGCCCTGATGAGGGAGGTGGGCCAGGCGCCCGTGCGGCTGAGGAGGGAGATCGACGGCTTCGCGCTCAACCGCATCCAGTACGCCATCATCGCGGAGGCCTGGCGGCTGCTCGAGGTGCGCTGCTCCCAGCGGCCCGAGGGGCAGGAACAGGGGAGCGGGCCAGGATAAGCATGCTGTACCGTGCTGCTTCACGCCAGGCTTGTCCTGCGGACTCGAGCTGTGGACCGCCCGGAAACGCCTCGCTACATTGTGAAATCTGTGGCTGAGCCGGTTTTATATTACACCGGGAACAGGAGCGGGCTGTTCCAGGCAAAGAAACAAACGTTATCACAGGAGTTATTTTAGGAGGAGTCTTTGCATTGCCTGTTAGAGCACTGTTTTGAATGCCCTTACTGGTATACAGCAGACACATCGTACCAGTCCTTCCGCTCACCGGTTCCTCTCATGAGTCTACCCTGTTTTTCCCTGTCTGGGACTGGGACAGTCTGAATTAATTCCCAAGAAGCTCTGCTGTATCTCTGAGGAAGGCGCCAGAGGTCTCAGAGGGAGTTTTACAGTGTGAGCCCGTGCTTCACCCACTCTGGGGCAATCATCATACGGTGTTACAACATGACACTCTTGCTTTAGTTAGAAATGTTGTGTCGGTTTAGAGATCCTGGAAGAATTAGCATTACTCATCTCATGTGTGCTGTGTTGTAAGAAATTTTTATTTACAGTAGGTATTCCAGGATTTCCTTACAAAGAGTATATTATGGAAACAGGTATTTAGCTGCAGACAGTGGTCTCTAATATGTGCATTGTCTGCCCTAGTTTGTTTATTTTACAAATCAGAACAGTCCTTTATTCTTTATTTGAGGTGAATTTGTACCCACAGTGAACCTGTTGGTTTTAAACCAGCAGTTGTTCTTTACATGGTACAAGCAGGTTTGCAAATTCAGTGAAAGGGAAAATGTGATAAAAGCCAGGTCAGCTTTTGAGGCTCAGAGCTGGGTTGGATTTCTGTGCTTTTGATCTGCCTGTTGTGCAGCTGAATGCCTATTGTCGGCTCAGTGCTCTTTGTAATCATGAGTACAACTTCCCCTGATAGGAGACCGTCCTGATTTTCTGTTCACGTATGAATGTGATTTCTACATTTTGTACACGTTTTAGACTTTCTAAAGAATGGAAGGCAAAGTTGTCTCTGTGGTGGTGCAGGAATGATAGTGAAGGTCTGAGATAATTATCCGTTTGCAGTTTCAGACAGGAGAAGGGAAAAGGGGGATTAAGACTGGAAACTGAGATCTTTTATAAAAAGCCCACAGTTCAGTCGAGTATCTTAATAACGTGAAGACAGAGCCACTCTAGTCTATGGAGCAATAATGATTCAGTCACGTCACGGCACTAAGAGGTCTGCAGATATTGGTCTACTGTCCAGGATGTTCGCTGTCCTGATGTAAGCAGACTGTTTCCTGGATGATTTCTTTCTCTTAAGCAACATGTTGTGTGAGGTGGTCGTCTTCATCCCCCATGCATATCGATCTCCAATCTTGACGTCTCCAGGACCTTACTTTTGGACGTCTCATCCGAAGAATGTCACAGCAGAGTGGCACCACCTACTGGTCCACTAATACCACTCACAGCAGCACCCTGGTTTTCCCTGAAGGTCTCCCTTCCCCAGAACTAAACAGGCCCAGCTGGTATTGTAAAGCAGTCTTTTAATTATTCCTAAAGTTGCAAAGAGCGTCTTGAAAGTAGACGTCGTGAACAAAACCAGTTCAGAGCTGCGATCAGTGGACATATCTGTGACCATCCTGTTCCTTACCGAACAGGACAGTTGGTTCACCTGCTGAACATTGCTAACTATAGGGGAAACCGGAGAAGAACATTTCAGTCACCAGTGAGCCTGTATTTACTGGGTCAGTCTGCACACTGTGCTCTGATCGAAAGTCTGTTGGTCGCATGACAGTTGCCCAGATGTCTGTGTGGTGTGTCCTGATGACGGAGTGTGAGTGCAGCTCTCAGTAAGGAGCAAGGTACTTGAGTGGGAGGATTTTCACTCCTGTAACTCGGCAGACTCAATTGATCCGAATACAGAGCTCTGATTTAATCTTGTTAAAGGTGGTTATACCCCTCTGTTTTGCCTTCTGACATCATCCAAGCGAATTTAGTATTATTGTCTTTGAGACAACAGAAGTCAAGTCCTTAACTTTCGTTTACTTGGTGATTCTTGTTTCATTTTAGTTTTTCGGATCAGTATAATCCGCGGCAGAGTTGTGATGTTGATTTAGAAAAATCTTTTTTCCGTTCTCTAACCTGCATTCCTGTGATTATTCAGGTATGTCAGTGCAAGAAGCATGAAAAGTTTTATGGGACTCCTTTAAAGGTGTGATTTGATTTGGTCCACACGTCCTGCAGTATCCTCCCAGTTTTCTTCCTGAAGCGAGATTGCGGTGCTCTTCCTTCTGGGGGATGGTGGGACACTGAAGGGAAGTATCCATAACACGTAAAAATTATCTCTCTGTTCTGCACTTGTTTTTTTATAATAAGCAAAGAAAAACTAGTGAATCAAATTAAAAAGGGAAATGTATTTTCCCCATCCCCCCCCAACCCTACCACTGTTCTAACATCTCTCCGTGATTTCAACATGTTTATTTGTTGCATTTCACAGAAAAGGGGATGATTCATCACAGGGTTTCTGATGGCGGGCTCAGTTTACTTTTGCAACATAAAAATGTACTTCTGTGATAAAAAACTTTCATTTTAAATAATTTGGCATTTTACGGCTCAGTTGAATATAAACGACAAGTGCAGCTCATTCAGTGTAGCTGGAAAGGAACGAAACAGAATTTGACAGGCAGTACTGGTACTGTAACAGCAGTTCAGTGGTCTTAACAGCCCTGTCTGTTTGATCTTTATTATGAACTAGTTTTGTGAAAAGGGGATGACTGGAGATCTGTGTATTGTCGTTCAACAAAGAAGGTTAATAAGCTGTTGCTGTTCTTGTTCTGTTGAATTGGACAGAAAGACACATTTGAAATGTGTCCAATTGTTTTTCAAATAAAAGGGAATGCCCAACAAATGAATATAACGTACTGTACTTCCTAGAATCTAGAATTACATCAAGAAACCAGTAGTGCTGGTGTAGTGGCCATCTCTGTTCATCTCTCAAAGTGACATTGTGCAAGAGGAGGCGTGTCTGATGAATTTCCATTTCCAAAGGAAAAAAGTTAACACAATATTTACAAACAACGTATTATTACACAAAAATGTTATTGCACATTGACATAGAACATAGAATAGGCTCACTGTCTGTTCCTCAGGCTGGGACAGGAGATCACACACTGTATTATTA